TATAGTAAAATACAACTCTTTGTGTTCTTTTTTTTAGTTCATGCTTTGAAAACTAATAGGAACTACTTTGGAAACAATGATAACTTCATTTCTGTATTCAAACAGGTACATCACATTTTTGTTTGAAGCTTCTTCTCACGTTTGTGCTTGACTCAAAGGGTTTAGATTTGAAAAATGAGAGAAACAAATAAAGAAGTGATCTTCTTCCATGTGAGGATTTCATTGGTTTTATCCTCATATTGACAATTGCATGCTAGAAATTGGATTCTAGGGGGTTTACCAGTGACTACAAAGCCCTTATCGATGTCCACATTGCTAGAGGTTGGGGTCTTATTGCCTGGCATCAATACTATGACAAGAAGGAATTTTCGAGTCCGATGTGTTATGATGATGACTAAACAATGTTTGCTCTTTGAAATTGATCAACAAATTAAGTTAGGAGTGATTTATGATAAGGCTACATGAAGAGAAGTTGTAGTCTTTGAGGAAGCTAATTTCCCCATCTATTGAGCTTTGAAAAAAGTATGACCCACCATTATATACATGGCCCCATCATCATCGTCCAAGTGATGAATTTTATAAATTATTTCTAAGATTGTAATATTTACATTCATTATCTTTTTTACTTCTTTATTTTCCTTGACTTCAATTTAGCCATTATTCTAATAATCTAAGATCCATTGCTGCTCGGTTGTTGTTGATGCCACTCATTCAGGTTTTAGCTTCATTTTAACTACTTGGGAGTTGGGAGGGGAGGATTTTGAAATCCAAGATTTGAGGGTTTGAATCAAATATTGCATATCTGAAATTTGAGTGTTTGAAATCTTGCCATTTCCTTTATTGCAAAGAATCAAACCTTTTAGTTTAATTACTAAAGAGATTAACTTCACTTTGTCATAAGATGCTCTACGATTTTGTGTTTTTTACTGACTTTGGGCATTTAAATCAAAACTAATGTTTTCAAATTAACCGTGGTGTTATAAGGTATTTTCATGAGTTTTGTAGATTGACCATAAAATCAATTAAATGGTTCTATCAAGCAAGGCTCCTTATTTTTAATTTCAACAGATAATAATAAGTTGTGGCATTATTATTGGGTATTTTCTTGAATTTTATAGGTTGACTATAAAAACGATTAAATGAAAATGTTCAATCAAGCAAGGATCCTTATTTTAATTTCAATAGATATGCATTTGAAGCTTCAATTGCATGGTTTTGGAGGGATTGAGTACATTTTTTTGTTTAGAGAGATCTCTGCATGCATGCTTTATTTTCCATTTATTTTGGTTCATTCTTTTAATGAGATTGATATTGTTAACTACCAACTCCAGACAAACTGTCAAAGTAGAACACAAATGCTTAACTTGCACCAGATTACAAAGTTACTTCTTGAGATTGAGAAAGAAGGATCCAGATGTTTACAAAGCTTTTAAAAGCTTATAGAAAGTGGATTAAGTAATATTTTCAGGGAAAGATAATTTCAAATCTAAGTTCCATATTAGTTATTCCTTGCATTCTCTATTGAAAATGATGTCAGGATGGGTTATTGGGCTCTATTGTTTATTAGTGTTTAAGTTTAATGCCACTCAGAATAGTGCCACTCTATGGCTGATAACGGTGAGAGTCGTGAGACAACTTCTCTATCTAAGAGCAAAATCAACTAAATTGGTTCATTGAAGGATAAGGCAGCTTATGTAGTTATGCTTTCTTTTGAGGATGATGATGATAGTAAATAATATATTTTTAAAATTTTTCATAATTTTATTCTTATTTATCACACTTATTTTTTGTTTAGTATGATAAATATACAACATTAGAGATGTGCCCAAATCTCTTCTACAATTTTTTTTATATTTTTATACTTTGTTTGATTTCATCATTTTTAGCTTTTATTATTATTATTTAATTATGACATCAAGAGTTTGCAATTTAACCTAAAAGGTTGAATTGTTGACTTGCTATCAAATAGGAAAACAACTCCATTTTGGGTTGATTTTAAATTTGTATTTTATTTCTATCATCAATAAAATAATTATTATTTGGCACACTTATTTTTTTAATATTAATATGGTCAATTAATACCGAGTCAATGGAAAATGAGAATTAATACCCAAAATAAAAGACTTGATGAGAGGGAATTGATGGGGAAAAATGTAATAGTTTAATTTACATTTTATGCCCTTAGAATTAGAGAAACCAAATTAAAAAATAGGGGTATTATAGTTAAGAATAGGATTAAATGAATTAGGAGTTGATATCTTAAATATAAGACTTAACGAGAAAGATTTGAATGAGGAGAAAAGTGGTTGTTTAAATTACATTTATGTCCTTACAATGAGAGAGTGACCAAAATAAAAATTGAGGTATTTTAGTCAAACAAAAAATCCTACACTTTAGTTCACACTTTTAATAGTAATATAGATGGAGTCTTAGATTTTCTGTTCATAAATGTTGTTCATTTGGTTTACTATCTCAATTAAAGTTTTTTTTTTATTAAAATACAAAGTTGCCCCATGATAAATCAAGATCAACCTATGCCTAACTCTAAAGGTGCAAACCTCGGGCTTGGGATTAGCCCAACCCAAGGTCAAGTCCAAGTTTATCAACCCAAGCCCAAGCTGAGTTTAATCCAATATAATTTGGGTTGAATCAGGCTTGGTTTGGGTGGGTTGGTTAGGTTTGAAAGAATTAATGAATATATTTTTATATAATCATTTTTCATTGGGCATTATGACCCAATTTAAGAGTAGATATGATTGAAAACATGTACATATACAAGTTTAGAAAAAAGATGACTTTATATAAATGTAATACATGTATGTATGTATTTGTTCAGGTGGGCTCGGGTTGGATCAGACCCAAGTTGTGTTGGGCTCGGGCTACCTGAAGCCTCAACCCAAGCCCAACCAAGTTTAGGCCAGGCTTGAGTCTTTTTATCATTGTTTTCAAAACCAGACCAGACCGAGAAAAAACAGGAACCGGTCAGGTGACTGGTTCCGTTTCCCCCCAAAACTGGATTTTCTCAAAAAAAACAAAAACGTTGATTTTGGTCAGCAAACCACTGAACCAGGTGGTTAACCGTTTGAACGGTTTTGACCATTTTTTTATTTTTTATTTTTTTTGTCAGAACGGGCCGACTGTTCAAGTCGAACGATCGGACCGTTCAACCTCGTAACCAGACCCCTAACCGGTTCGGTTTTATAAACCATGCTTTTTATCTTTCAATCCTAGCCCACAACCCTAAAATGCAGGTCCAACCCATACAAAAACTCGTGTCTAATTGGGCTCGGGTTAGGCCCGCCCAAGTTGCACCTCTGCTTATATTAATGTATGACTTTTTTTTTCATTATTTTTTTTCCATGGGGCAAATGATATAAGATTTACATTTCCTTTGAACTCCTTTTGTTAGCACATTAGACATAGCCTTTTTCCGTGCATCCCATGGCCCCGCTAGTATTCTTTTAAGTGGTGGTTCATCACGATAAAACAGAGGAAACCTGATGACAGAAATTGGAATTTTATTCATGTTCTTCAGTTTTTTCTTTTTTTTTTATGTTTGGTTTGAAGGAAAAAGTAGGGAAAGGTAGAAAAACCTTTACAAACCTTGTATAGATTTCCCTACCTTTCTCTTCATTTTCCTTCAAACCAAACATAGTCTAAAGGATCCAAGGAAAAGCTAATCTTTGTAGCACAGTTTTGTGTGACGAATCTTGACCAGAAAGCCAAATCTCTTTAAGTGTAGACCTCGGTTAGACTTATCCTTTATTCATTCACTCATCAACAGAGAAATGATGTCCAACCATTTGAGGGCCGGTTTCCTCAAAGAAGCCGGCATTGCTAGAAAAAATGAACTCTTGAATGAAAATTTAGCATATCTAGAGAATAGGGTTGCCAATTGGTCGGGTCTCTCCAATAGAACGGAACCAACCGAACTGATTATGTTGGTTCTAGACTTGTAGTTATATGGTTTTTCCTGATTAACGATTGGGTTGGGACGGCTTTTGCTGTTTCAAACCGATTCAGTAGCTTGACCTGGTTATATAGTTAATGAATATCCATTTTTTTTTATAATTTTTATTATATTTTATGCCTGAAAGAGTAAATTTTATGAAAAATTAGTGTAATCAGGTCGAATCCAATTGGTTTGGTCCTAGGCCTTCTCGGTCCTTCTTATTATCCCAATTAATAATGGGAATGAGATGGATATACCCTGTACTAAACCAGACCCGACCCATTGACGGCTCGCTCTACTATAAAGTTATATGTATTTTAATAATTATATATGTATAATATATATTCAACGCATATATGTATGCACATACTGTGTAGCCACCAATATTGGCATATTAATATATTCCAAATCTCCAGCCTAGTATTTTCATGTCAAAACTTGGCAAACGTTATTATAATGGGCTTAGTGGGTTTCTTCAATAGTGAATGTTTATATTGTAATAAATTCTTTGTCAATGAATAGGTTCTTTAACTTGCAAGCAAGGTTATTCTTAGATTGAAGATTTTCTAAGTTTCAAGAATTGAGTTGAGGTAGGACTAGGACATCTCTAGCGATCGAGTTCGAGGTTATTTACTTTCAAAAGTGGGTTCAAACTCTAAGAATTTAGCATATATCAATAATGGGTTAAAAAATGGATGCATTTTGTACCCAGTTGCAATTAAACTTGAATCTTGCTTATTGCAAGAAGAGAAAGGCTCATCGCTACATTATTATTTGCCTAGCTAATTGGACTTTTGGATTAATTACAAGCTGATGCATGTTTCAGTCTGTGCGTCTTGTATTGAGTTGGGTTGAGCAATTTTACTGGCACTATAGGTGCATGTTACAGTTGGGAACTTGGGATCAAATTAATTGGGCTTCTACTGATTCTCTCTCTCTCTCTCTCTCTATGGCTTGGGTTGTGTGTCTAACTTGTGAAGCCACAGCAATTAAGTTGTTTCGTCAAGTAATGTATTTGTCCATACTTCATAGAGTTTGATGAATTCGATTGATCAAATGGAAATTAAGCAAACTTTAATTTGTCTTTTTACAGCTCTCTAGATCTCTGACTCCCAAAATTAAGGGGCATTCAGTCATGGAATCTACATGAATATTATTGAGTCGACAAGAGAAGAGATTACAGAGGGGAGAGAGGGAAGCCAATTCCATGGCGTTTAGTGGGAAACACAACAAATAACATGCTGCAAATGACACCAATCTCGACGGGCAATACTGTGAGGAGCTCTTTCGTCTCGTCCGATGGTGCTGGGTAGAAGCAGTCGACCACATTCTGATCGAACAACGCAACTGCTGCAAACACCAGTATTGACATAAAGGCGTGCATGAAATCAATGAACTTGATCCGATATCCAGCGGCCATCTCCGGCGAAATGGTGCAAGACCCATCGATGACCCAGAGCCCTCGGAAGGTTGCTATTCCATAGCGGACATCCCCATTCCCATCCCTGAAGCTGTCCGTGAAGGACAGCAGCAAACAAGAGAACCCACAAAGAGCCACGAGACTGGAAGTCATATAGCGACCGACGATGTCGCACTGGCCTTGGTTGGTCAATATGGGTGCCAGAAGCTGGAACGCAAGCACGGTCCCCGTAGGGAGAAGATTTGCTAAATGGGCTGTGCTCTTAAATGTCTGGCTAATGGCCTTCTGTATCAGTGTCTTCTGTTCGTTGTCAGGTGTTGTCTTGCTATTCTGCTCTGATTCAGAACCTGCTGGTACCGTCGTATCTTTCAGGAGGGGATGGCGTTGTTCATCGAGATACTCTGGTTCTGCCTTCTCTATCTTAATCTCCATGACCCCAATTCCTCTTTTGTGCAGTACTCTTTCTTCTGTTGTTGTTACAATTCCGTTGTAAGGGATCGATTGGGGCTGCTTATAATTAAGTACTGAAAACAGCGATGGTTTTTTTGAGTGACGGAGAAGAAAGTGTGCTAAGTGATATCTTGCAAGAAACAGAAACCAAAACAAAAGCTGAAATTTTGGGAAGCAAGAGAGAGAGAGAGAGGAATTTTGTTAGTATAAAATATAAACTAAGAGATTCTTGCTAATGTAGTGTTAGGATGTTGCTTGGTATTGCTGAGACGCAATGATCATGGAATAGTAGTTGCTTTCTGGGGAACTTTTTTTTTTTTGCCTTTCAGCTTAATTAATTTGATGTTTTCTGTACATAAAGTATATATGTAATTTAATTTGGTCATGGTCGTATATACTTGGTGATTGAAGATAGAGTACGTGTTTGTAACATTTATGTGTAGTTGACAACCACAATCCACGCACCACATGCCATTCCATTGAAGATAGAGGATTCGGTCTCTCTTTTAAGTTTTAACTTCCATAACTCAATAAGAGGATCTGGGATTCTGAACCCTGATATCAGATTGTTCAGAATTTGCGGACTGGAGACAAAGAGGCTGGCCATATCTGTGAAATACCTGATGAACAAGAGAAACACCCGTCTCTCCCTATACCCTGAGTGAAAGGACAAAGAGATGGGCCTGGGCAGTGTAGGAATATATTATAGACGATCCCATCGCGTCCTATGCTGTTAGCCCTCTATGTTTTGCCCTAGCTAAGGAAATGATAAAACGCATAAAGCTATTGCACGTGAAGATTAAATCTATTTTTTATTAGTCACGTCACGCCCCGTGCTATGCATCCACGGGCATGGTCAAGACAAATTGAACTAAAACGAACCATGCATATAACATTCCAAATGGGCGCATCATATTATATTTTCAAAATTATAAAAATTGATTTATCTAAATTATCAAAATTAATTTCTCGAATAATCAAAATTAAATAATTGAATTACCACAAATTACCATCATTACAAAAAAAAATTGTTTATCAAAAATTAAAATTTTTAGAAAAATCAATATATGAAATTACCAAAATTTATATAACAAATTATAAATTTAGTTTCCCATATAACAAAATTAATCACTAAAGTTAACAAAATTAGTGTACAAATGCTACCAACATTTTCAAAAATACTTTACTTTCAGAAATTAATAATTCACCAAAATTAACAAATTAATAATTTCCCAAGTTACAAAAATTATTTATTCGTAAATTATAAAAAAATAATAATTGGTTAATGATTAATTTACAAAAAATAAATAAAAATTAATTAGTGAAATTAATTTTGGGAATATACCAAAATTTAACAAAATTGTTAAAACTAATTTACCTAAATTACCATAATTAATTTTTCAAATAACCAAAATTAAAATTACCAACACTAACAAAATTTATTTATCAAAATTAAAAGTTTAGATAAATTAATATACAAAATTACCAAAACTAATATAACAAAAATGGATCACAAATTTAATTTTCCATAAAACAAAATTAATCAACAAAAATTAGCTATATTACTTTACTTTTATAAATTAATCATTTTCCAAAGTTAACAAAATTAATAAATTAATAATTTCACAAAATTACTAAAATTATTCACTCATAAATTATAAAAATAATATTTTTTGTTCATTTTTTAATTTACAAAAATAGATCAAATTTCATTATAAAATCTACCAAAAATAATTTACATAAATTAATTATCCCTAAATGAATGACCAAAGTTATTAAATTAATAAAATTATTGTTTGATAATTACAAAAACTAATTAGTAATTTTTGGCAAATTATTAATTTAGAAAAATTAAGCAAAATGGATTTACAAAAATCTCACTTCCTTTTTTTTTGAATTATTGTTTTTTTAATTAACCAATGAGAAACAACATACGCTAAATTATTTCTAACAACCAATAGACAAAGAAAGAGGGATTTGCTTTTCTAATGTCTAGCCAACTGGCACCACTAGAGGGGTGTAAATTGATGGAAATAGAGCCGAATCAGGCAATATCTGAATTCGAATACGATTTAAAATCCAATATTCGAATTCGATTCGATATCCGATGGATATTGGAAATTAATATTCGAATTCGAATTCAAACTCAAATTCAATTAAATATTCTAATATTCAATTCAATTTGAATTCAACCAATTGATTGTTTAAAGTAATTAATAACTATATAAAATAAATATTTTATTTATATAAGGTATATAAATATATATAAATTGTTTATATAATTTAACTATCCTATATAAATTATAAAAACATTTAAATATTTTATATATTATATATAAGAATTAAATAATCGATCGAATTCAAATGTTTATCGAATCGAAGCAGGTTATATCCAAATCCAAATCCAAATCCAAATCTGATTAACTATTTGGTATGAATAGGACATCCGAATTAGACCGATTAGATATTCGAATTATCCGAATTCGATTCGATTATGTCGAATCTCGAATTGATAATCGGATTTTTGAATACCGTTGACACCACTAGGCACTACTATCTCCCACTTTCGCCTAAATTATCTCTAATTCTTATCTATCATCTCCCCCACTTTTTTATCTATATCTATATAAAGAAAGTTTGAATTAAAAAAAATTAAGAACTATTTAAATAAGTTACCTAATAACTTTAAAAGGTTTATTAAAAACACAAAAAATAATTATAATATATTTAAGGGAAAATTCCCAGTTATTACCCTGTACTTTGGGTCTAGTGACATTTTGGTCCCCGAACTTTAACATGCGACAGTTAAGTATCCAAACTTTCGAAATGTGACAAATCCAATACCACCATTAACTACCGGTTAACTAGCCGTTAAGTGTCATTGAAAAAGACGCAGATGCCCTTGAAGTGTCATTTAATTTTGTTTATCAACCATCTAAACATTGATAAAAAATTAATAGTCCCAAATTAGTATGTCAAAAATTTTAAAAATGATATAATTTAAATAACTAATTAATATTGTAAATAACTAATTTCACTTATATCAATTAATAATTCTAGAAAATAACTAAAAAAAATAAAATTTATTATTAATAATTTTAAAATTTTAATCTATATTTATTATTTATTTAATATATACTAAAATTAAAATTTATTGTATTTTTAGTAATTACTTTTTCTATTTTTTATAAATATATTTTCAATAATTATGAATTTTCTTATAATTTATTGATTAATATTTATTAGATATTAAACTATTATTTGAGATTATACTATTTGTTAACTAATTTAATATATTTTTAGTATATATTATACTTTTTTAATTATTATAATCTTATTATTTATATATTGTATTTTTACTATAAAATTATTTTCAATAATTGTGTATTTTCACTGTAAAATTTTAATAATTATCGAAGATTAAACTATTATTATTTATTAGAGATTAGACTAGTACTTTAACTGAAATTAGGAGTGTTCACGGTTCAGTTAGGTTTGGTTGTAGGCTGTTTGGCCAACCAAATTGATTTGGTCAGGTTGGGGAGTTGGTCACCCGAAGTTGGCTAACCATTAGTGAAAAATCGACCAACTTGAGTTATATTGGTTTGGGCCGATTTTCGGTTTGGTCGATTAGTTCAAAAGATTTAAACTTAAAAACTTAAAAATTACAATGGTATTATTAATAAATAAGTTTATGGTATAAAATATTTTAGACTAAGAAATATGAGAATTTTTTCACTTTCTCGTATTAAAAACAAAAACTGACCCAACTCAGGTCAAGTTGGGTTGGGTTAGTCGGTTTCATTGGTTTGATGAACAATCCTATATGAAATTAATTATTGTTATTTTTTTATTGTAAAAAGTTATTATAAGTAGTATATAAAATATAAATAATTATTAATTATTTAAAAAGTTAAAATGTAAAACAATTATATACTCTTATGTATTTCTATTGTTTATCTTCACTTAACAAAGCACGAGCTTCGCATGGGTCCCCACTAATATTATTACTAGCAAGGTTAGTCCATTAATACATTACATTTCAAATTTGAAAATTTGTGATAAAAAATAGTGATTCGAGAGGTATGGGATAGAGAGACTAAACAAGGAAAACCGATTGTAAACCAAGCCTTATTCCTTCCCTCTGTTTGCCATGGGCAGTCAAGCAGATGCCATTAACATACCAATGAGTGAAAAAAAAAGACTGTAGACCAAAATCAAAATATTGTATTATCCAAGTATATTATCATCTTTTTTGGTCCTCGAATACAAGGAGATTCTAACGCATTGGGTGGTGGGGGGTCTGTATATAGGCAAACAATGTTATTGCCGCACCAATCACTCAAATAAGAAAAGGCATAAAGTTCTGATCCATTTGCATATCTTATTTCTTCCTCTTATTTCCTCATCCTAAGAAGGTATGAGAGTTCCTTTTGTCCTCTTAGCCATTAGTATTGAAAGAAGTTATGCTTTCATAGTTCTAAAATGGAGAACAACCCATCACCATAAATTAATGGCTAGGGGCTGGTATTCAGATCTAAATGGATGGATCCCTATCTCTTTTAGTCATTCACCAATGTATAAATACTAAATGGTAGTTAGAATATGATCAAGATATCTACTAACACTAATCTATACTATTACAAAAAGTACGAATGAGGGCGTAAAACTTTTCTTGACTAAAAAATGCCAACATTTGTTATTTAGTCCATATCTAATTATGAAGGTTGAAAATGTAATTTCAATTAATGCCTTTCACCTCATTTAAGGTATTAACTCTCATTCTCTCTTATTAAATCCCATATTTAAGTTATTTTTTCACTAATAAATGCTACTGATTAGATCTATGTCCATTACTTTTAATAATATAAACCCATATATTTTAAAACTTACTCACTAACAAAACCATTCTTTATCCAAGTGATGACTAAGCAATTCAACCATCCGAATCAAATTGGCCAACCCATGAATTCATAGTTATATAATAAAATTTTTAAATTGAAATTAATATAGAAAATTATAAAAATGTAGATAAAAATAGACACATTTATGATATTTTTATTAATCCAATTAAAAAAACAAGTGTAATAAAAAATAATTATTTTATTGATGATGAAAATGAAATATATAATCTGAAACTAACCAAAAA